GAATTATCTTTGAATAAGCAAATTTTACAATAGTGGGTAAAAATGTTTCAATTCACTCAAAAAGTTCTCGAGAAATGGTGAAATATGCAAAAAATAAAATAAACATTAGGTCCGAACTTTGAACCACTCTCCTGACCAAACTATTAGGTCTAGATTGCGGCTACCCCTTATTATAATCTTGGAGTCAAAATTCCAGATCCGTCATAATAAAAAAAATTTAAAAAAAGTTGGATTTGTTCAGAGAAAATAAGTTTTGGTGTCTGATTTGGTAACTTAAAACATCGTCTGACCTAATAAGTTAGCATATTTGAGGTCACTCTCTCATACCATTACAATTGAGTCCTAGTGAGTGAAAATCCGATCATTAAATTAAAAGTTATTCAGAGTAGTTTGTTTTACTTTTCTAACTTTTGTTTTTTGCATTTTCAACTATGAGTTATTCTTATTTTCATTTTTCATTACAAATATTATTATTCATTACAAAATATTGTAGATACTGATATCGCTTTTTCAAAATAACAAAAACTGTTTGGTCATTCAAATATGTGCACTTAATTTTAGTATCCAGAAGAAAAAAAATGCTTGTAATTTCCCCAAGCTAATATTATCACAAAGTATTGTTTGCTGAAAATGCCAATAATGTTGGATTCGCTATAAATATATTATACTATCTTCGAAATCAGTGAAATGTTTCAAGAACAATGTCAATTTTCTAGTACTTTGATAATCGATTCGTGTGGCATTACACTTCTTTATCTTATCTTTCTGACTTATTTCCCCACGGTCATTACCAATTTTACGTTCCCATTAAAAACATTTTTTTTTAAAATTCTTATGCGTAGGATCGTGTTATTATTATCCAGTCAAAGTTATACAAAAATCTTATAATTTGTGTTAAACATTCTTTTTTCTATAATTCTTAAGATGATTGTATTTTATTCTATTTTCAAACGTGTTGAATAGTCTAGGGTTCGATCTATTTGCTGAGACGAAAAATATTAAGTATACAGTTCAGTCAAAAACTCACAGGGCAAAGTCTAGCGTGAATCAAGTGACACGCGTGTGAACTCTAAAGAATACAAAATCCCATGAAAAAGAATCACGACTAGACAAACCATATTTTTGTACAAATTAATGTTTCGTAAATTTGATAACATGCTACTAAATACAATGATTCAACTTGATGCAAACATGATTTAATTTAATATGTTATTATGGTTGCAAAAAATTCACAAACCATATTTTCGTACAAATTATTCCTTCGTAAACTGGATTACCTGATACTATGAAAAACGGTCGAAAACTAAAGAATATCAAAAATTTAGACCCATTAATGTTAATTTTTCTAGTTGAGTGTTCCCCCTTATATCTGGAATTATTTAAACAAATCAAAAACTTTTTGGACGGTATCATAAAACTCGTACATTTAAAGATAAGTCCATGCAGAAAATATTTTTTTTTATAATTATATATTATTTTTTATTATTTATTTTATTAATAATTAAAAAACGTTTGAATTGTGAGGTATAAAAGTTTTTTTAATTTTTTTAAACTATTTAATTTTAAATGACAAAATATGAAATTTCTATGAAATCAATCGAATAGTTCTTAAGAAACAAAAATACGATTTTCTCTAATTTTATTATCAAAAACTATTAAACCGATTTCGTTCGAATGGTACAGTCGTTGTTCTTTTAAAATTACATAGTTTAAATTCATTTAAAAATTTGTATATCTTACACATCAAAAGTGTTTTTGAATAATATTAAATATTTTTTTTTAATGGAGGCACTGAACATTATTCTTCGCCTTAGAAGATGCCGGAATTGTTACTCATTTCACGTTACCCAGTGGGCACCTGTGAACCAAAGTCACGGAGGCGAGCAACATTACCCACACCACACTGCCACAACCCGTTTATAGGGTGGGCCACATTCAAACATCACACACAACAGAGGACAGCACATAGAGAGAGAAACATCCATGCCCAGAGCAGGATTCGAACCCGCAGCCATTGGCTTCGCAGTCAGGCGCGCTATCCGCTCGCCCACCTGGCCGGCTAATATTAAATATAAAAATTATTTTTTTGCTTGCAGTTATCTTGTAATTTTTTTGTGTTTAGAATTTTCCTTGGAAAAACAAGTTTTATAGTAGAAAAGAAGGAGAAAAAAAATTTTTTTTTATTCCTTGAAATTGCTTCAGATATATGGCAAAATATGCATAAGCATAGCAGTTTCATTCAAAACACAACTCAAACATTTAATAGAATAAAAATACTATTTGTATTTGAAATATTATATTGAAGTTTTTTCTATTATTCCATCGTTATGAATTCTGCACGAAAATTGCGAGGCTCCAGACTCGTGCATCCATCTTGTCGGGTCCCGGAGCCCAAATCCCTGTGTGTTGGTCTCCTTTGCCCTGTGACATTGCTGTGTTGTCATTTTTTAGTCACCAAACCATCCTTCCCTTATGTCGTTGTTGTAGTTTCAGTTCATTTGCGTCGCACTAGAGCTGCACAATGGGCTATTGGTGACCGTCTGGGAACCATCACTGAGGATGATCCGAAGACATGCCATCACAATTTAGATCCTCTGAAGAGAGGATAGCACCTCCGCTTCGGTAGTCCGACGACCTGCAAGAGGAGTCGTGCACTTTACGGTAGAACAATTTAACGAGGACCAATACCGCATACCCTTGGTCCCTACGCAGACTGATCCAAATGGTCACAATGACCGCAGGGCTTGATTTGCTGGGAACTGCGTCTTAACGATCCACTGCGGGACCCTTCCCTTGTGTCAATTTCTTTGCTGAGTAAGTACGAGGTCGCACTTCAAGTTATCGGTATGTCCCCGGATGCCCCTCTGCGGGACGGGTCGTGGTTATAAGCTAGTTATTCTTCAAGAAAATTGCTTCCTTCAAGGAAGATGTTACAGTTACCATTATATTTGTTTTCGAGTTTATGAACGCTATATGTGATTTTAGAACTTGTGCCATTAAACTCTAATTCAACTAATCTCAATTCTAACTTAATGAAATTAACCAGCTTACTATTGACAACAGAATGACTCCTGAAATAAAAAACCGATTCTATCTGGCAAATAGCTGTCTATGGGCTGAGAAGATTTTTCAAATCTAGGTTTCCTTCAAGAAAAACAAAATTCTTAATCTACAAAACTCTTGTCAGGGCAGTTTTGACTTGCGCTTCTGAAGCTTGGACAATGACAAAACTGGAGGAAAATTGTATCACAATATTTGAGAGAAAGATTTCGCGTGGTGTAAATGAAAACAATTACTGGAGAAGGAGATTTAACTTTGAACTGTACAAAATTTGTAAACACATCCCGACATTTTTAAATACATAAAAATAAATAGAATGAATTGGATGGCCCACGTGATTCGAATGAGTTGTGACAATACAATAAAAAAGATGCTGCTTTTTAAACTCAGTGGAACAAGAAAGCGGGGAAGACCGCGGTTGAGATGGGCTGACTCGTTGGAGTCTGATTTTCTTGCAATTAATGAAAAGAATTGGAGATCAAAGAAAAATCGGAAGTCATTATGAAGAAATCTTCAGAGGAAGACATTGGCCCACATTGGGCCGTCTGCCCAACTCTGATGATGATGAAATTAACCTGCTCATATTTATTACGTAATAACATTTAATTTTGGAGCACTGTATCCAATACTGGAAGTTGTGCCATTAAACACGATTTTCCTTTCAACTCAAATCCAGCTTCTTAGGAATATTCCTAATGAACTAAATTTTAAATGCAACAATATTTCTATATTAAGTATTAAATATTTGCTAGCTTTAAAAATTAACGTTTTCCTCTGATTACCTTTAACTTAGTGTTTTATACCCTATATTTATTAATTATCTAATGGAAATTCACTAGCAAAAAATTAGTTTTACTTATATTGCTTTCAATTTTGAGAACATCAACTACTTAGCATATTATATTTACAATGCATTCATGCAATAACATATAATTTACGAAATTAAAGTGATAAAATAGCTCGCTAAAAGATTGTCTTTCAGCATGTTTGCAACATTGTACCAATAAAATCATTCTATTTTGCTCGTTAAATCCTGAATCTCATTAAATGTGCGCTCTTTATAAGTTATTCTACTGTATATCAACATATTTTGTGCAATTTGTTCTATCATAAACTTTTCAACTATCTTTTGATTATTAAATTTACTTTACTCCAACTAATCATTGATTTCTTTAGTAAGCTTCAACATTCATACAAATCAAAATATTCGCGGGGAAATTTAGAGAACATTTTATTTAAAAAAAGTGTCTATAATTGGGTATTAAATAATTCAATTGTTTAAATTATTAAACGTATGTTAATAAATATTTCTCCAATTGCAAATTTAACTTTTATAGAAAATTATTGTCTTTTACATGGGTAATATTTTTTTTGCGCAGTTTCTTAAATAATTTTCGCTGAGTTTGTTCCGATGGTTGTTTTTACAGAGAGAAATGTAAAATGTAATAGAAAGAAATGTACTATGCATATGTTTCTTACTAACCGCATGTAAAGTACAAGAATCCAACTTCGTCACTATACACTGCAAAAATTCCGGATCAAAATACGGTAAAAAGTACTGGCACTCTGAATGCAGCATTCGTAAAATCCATTTTATCATAAAATCCATTTTACCATAAAATTCATTTTTACCGTAATTTTTACAGTAATATTTGCTAAATTAGAGTCATTTCCAGTAAATGTTACAGAAAAAGTAATGGTAAATCAGATTTTTTGTTCCATAAGATTTTGTGGTATAAGGTACTGGAACCACCCTGGGTGCCGGTACTTTTTGCCGTAATTTGATTCGGAATTTTTTACGGTGTTAAAGCACAGCTTACTCTAAATTAAATGTTACAAAATTCGTCTTTATACTCTCTTTACCGCCATATAAATTTATTATCAGTAATGAAAATGAATTGACAGCTGAAGATATAAAAAATATTTTAAAAAAAACTTACTAGATGTTTTCTTAACTCAAGCTCCTTTCAAGTGATTGTAACCTAAACCAAATATGACATATATCACAAATCTTATTCAGCAATAATTGAACAAAAGAATGATATGCTGAATAATGTAGCTTGGGGCCTCAACAGATCCAAAGTTCGCTAATAGAGTTTGAATTCCGATAATCGAATGAAATGCAGAAGAGCAATTTTCTTCCATTTGGATTGTGACTGTAGATAAGATTTTACCGTAATCAATGTGTAAGAAGAATACAAGTCAATAAATGGTTAGTAATCAAGTCGCCTGTGAATAAACGAGTTGTAATCGCTGATAAAATTCGATATTTTAGTCTGCATCTTCAAGATAATGAGGAGTTCTCTTGTATTTTACAAGCATTCAAGCCTTAGTCATAATAAATAATTAACTAATAAAATTTATCAGTAAGAGCCAATAATAGAATATTCAATAAATCGGTTATTCACATTCAATCTATCAGAGAAATACTTTTATCTAGGAGTGAGGAAGAACATTTCTTTTTCAACATATAAATGTGAAAGAGTTGAAACAAGAACTGATAAATCTGATATTGAATTTATCAGTCTTTGCTATGATCAATAGTATCAAATGGTGAGAATTTTGCCAAATATCAGTTAAAAGACAAATAAAAATTATAAATTTGTTTATGAAGTATTAAATAAAAAAGTTTTTGATTGCTTTTTAATTTCATGTCAATACATTGTTATGGAAATAGTTAATTTAATACTTAGAATTTCGAAACCAAAACTAGAACTGATTTAATTTCATTCATAAAATACCTTATCTGTAGTTCACTGTTGATAACAGTATCAGCTGTTATAAATCAACTGTTTCATTTTCACAAAATTTTTCAGGGAGTATTATTGCTTTATAACACCGCAATTGCAATGAAATGTGTAATAGTATCTCTTATTCTTAAGATTTTACTTACTTCAGATTAATTTTCTTTTATTCATGGTGATACATGGAAAATTTCTAGTTTGTACTTTCTATAGTTTCAATTTTTTTTCATTATTGTTTCTTTTTCCACTTCATAATTATTATTTGAACTTTATCGACTTAAAATGTAAAATTCGTTTTCACTATATGGTTGTACCTTGAGACTTTGATAATTTTTAAAAGCCTAATGGACACAAAATCATAATTTTTATTTCCAATTATAATCTTTACCAACAGACGACATCATAGCAATAGCTAACATTGGAAAGTTTGGCGTTGAATTAATGTCTTAAAGGCAGATAAAAAAATTTACCACTTAAAATTTTCTTTTCATATTATTTTTTTCTGAACACGAATTCATAAAACTACTAAACTGAAGAGGATATCTTTAAATGTTTCAGTTATAAGAAAAAAATTATAGTGCATTTAGATTAATCACAATTTTGATTATATTTTAAACATTTGATGGATGTACCTTAGGACAGTAAAGTATGTTGTATAGATCTCAAAATAAAAATCGATAATTACTTAGTGCAGATGATATTTTAAGCTACAAAATCAGACATAAAAACGTACTTTCTCTGAATAAACATGCCTTTTCCTGACAGATTCGGATTTCTGACCCCCAAAATATGGGGCATAACCGCAATCTAGGAAATATGGTCCCAATAGTTTGGTCAAAAGAGTGATCCAATGTTTGGATCCCTTAATGTTAATTTTACCTTTTGTGCATTTCCCCACATCTTGAGGATTATGAAAGCGAATTGAAAAATTTTTGAGCACAATTATAAAATTCGTTTATCCAAATATCCCTGCAAAAAATAACTTTTAGTAAACATTTATTATTTTTTATTATTTTATTTAATAACAATCGAAAAAATTTTAAACAGTAAGGTACACAGTTTTGTACAACATTTTATAGAATGTTATTTTACACAGCAAAATACCAAATCTGAGCAAAATCGGCCGAACAGTTCCTGAGAAATCAAATTTTAAAAAAGTCGTATTTTTAAAATTCGATTTTTATTAATTCGCTTCGAAAGTTCTCGAGATACGGCGAAATACACAGAAAGTAAAATAAACATTAAGGGGTCCAAACTTTAGGCAGCTCTCCTGACAAAACTATTGGGACCATATTCCCCAGATTGCGGCTACCCCCTATTTTGGGTGTCAAAAGTCCGAATTCGCCGAAAAAACGGTATGCTTATTCAGAGGAAGTACGTTTTTGCGTCTGATTTCGTAACCTAAAATATCGTCTACACTGATTAATTTGTATATTTGAGGTCACCCCTTCAAACTAATGAGTCCGAGTAACGTGAAGATCCGGTCATTAGATCGAAAGTTATTCAGGCTAGTACATTTATTCGTTTTTTTTTTTTTTTTTTTTTTTTTTTTTTTTTTTTTTTTTTTTTTTTTTNATTGGAACTTGTTACAAGATACAATTGGAACCTTTTACTAAAGATAATTTTTAACAACTTCGCTATATTTTGCTGCAAAAAGGTGTGTTCAAATCTGCTGCACCCAATTTATATGCAAAAAATTTATATTCTGAAAAAATATTTTAGTTTATATCATTAGAATAGTTTTATTATTATTTTTAGTATTTATTTTAATTATTTATTTTTATTGTTTATTTTTATTATTTATTTTTATTTCTTATTTTTATTATTTATTTTAGTTTTATGTATCATGAATTTGGAAACATGACACGCTTTATGACATGCTTGTACTTGATTGGATTATTATCTACTCTTCTTTCAACACCGAAACTTCTTAATTGAAGAATTTGTCATTATAAGTACTAATTACTGGGTTGAAAAAAATTTAAAAAATGATACTTTATTTGAGTTGGAGGCTTAGTTATTACTATAATCTCCTTTTCTACATTTTTAAATACATTAAAACAAAAAAAATTAGCTATCCATTGTTAATAAAAGTCCTCTTAACTACTGTTTGTAATAAATATTTATTTGCTTTTGACGATTTCAATACTAGCAACAAGAAAAGAATTCACTATCAATTTCCATACACAAAGAGAAAAAAATAATGGGAATTTCTTAAAAAGAATAATCTTTAAGTTAAAATTATAGATTTTCTTCGTAGAGGAAAAAATTCAAAGTCACTTTTTTACTTTCAAATACCGTTCACTAAGTATATTAATTGTATTATTTTACCAAATGTGCTATAATTCTGCGTTCAGAGTAAAAAAAAGTTCTGGAAAAAAATCGATAAGATTCATTTAAAAATGCATTAAAATGAAAAACATTCAAGACTGGAAATAGTTAAAAGTATATGCTTTGTCTCACAAATTTTATTATTAATTGAAAGTTTTGTTTATTTCTGCATTTGTAATCGATTAATTTTATTGATGTGTTACCAGCGTATTACTTAAAAATGTAAGTTAAACACATTACACAGAATAATATTTTTCATCAGTTGTCAAAACATATAGCCTAAGATATTTTCGCAACCAGTGTGATTTGGAGATAGAAGATTAGGATAACATCCTGAACCTATTATCTTGTTTAAAGTTTATTACAGGTTAGTGATCATTTTAAAATCCCTTTTTTCGGCCGGGAAATTTTTAAGCAAATAGGGTGGGATTTCAAGGGAGGCAAGGTTTGAGGGGGAGAAAAGTAGATTATTTGAGTAACGGACCATCGTCCAGCAAGTCCTATGTGATATGTAAAACATAGAAGGATTACCTTTTTCTATTACATTCAGAAAACCTTTTTAGGAAACAACGTATCCATTTTTTTTCTTCGTTCAAACATTAAATTAGACTAAATTTATCTGTAAATAGAAATTATAGAAAATGTCAATTATAACTATCAAATTTTATGCTTATTCTTTCAAAATTTTTAACTATTTTTTTTCTTCTTTTCAATGGGTATTAATTTTTTACCAAATTATTCAACTAGAATAACACTTGTCTTTATATAGAAAATTTCATTTTAAGTTTATGTTAATGCCTTATGGCAGGGGGAATGTTTTGTCCACCCATACTATCATTTCTGTTTTACATATGCAATATTGATTTAACATTCTGATCGTGTGAGTCGTAGTTTTTTAAAAAAACTATATCCATTATTGCAATTTTTCCTCATATGTTATCACATTAAGTTTATTATGATTTAATTAATTGTTTCTATTTATTTTAACAACTGAATTTAAATACTTCTGACTATAACAAAGGAGGGTTTTTTTTTTGCTTTTTCTAAAAAATATATATTCTTGTGCTATCTCTAGATCAAACATAACAAAATGTATTCTATGATATTTGTATGCTATGATATTAGTTATGATAAGAACGATTCAACGTATATTCTTAATGCACAACTGACTGAGATCAACCCATGGGTCTGTACAGGATTTTTGCACTGGGAGTGGGATATTATACTATTTTTTACTAACTAAATGCACTAAGTTCAAAAATTGAACACATGTGTGCATAAATGTAATAATTATTCGCAAATATAGTTCTTTCGTCGCTTGAGTTAAAATTTATTTCTATTTTTTTTTAAAGTTACTGATGACATATAACTACTTAATAATATTTTTTGGTTCATAATTTACCATTCCTTTTAATTTCACTTATCTTAGTTGAATAATTATTAATTATCTCTGAAACTAATCTGCTAATATAAACTAAATAGTAATTAAATAATAATAAACTCAGAAAAGGACAATTAATAACATTCTAACTAGATATAGTGTATGTAAAAATTGATGAAAAAGAAGATGTAAAGGCTAAAATATACCAAATGTATTAAAGTTTATCAACTTTATTTGCACCTTAACGTATAGTTTATTTACACCTTATATTGACATGCGGTAAATAATAAATTTTTCCTGAGTTCGATTTATAACTTAGCAAAATTTTTAACTTTATGATAGTGGTGTACGCAGATATGTTTTAATTATTATCATTTCGGGCAAAATTTGCTTAATATATTTTATGTGTCATATTTTGAACTATTTAATTGAACCAGTGTCCGTGCATTAGATAAGAAAGAATTATATCAAGCAATAATGCTCGCAAAAGATAAGTCTTCTTGATAGGAAAATAAAGCAACATAACGAATAAAAAGAAGAAACTGAGAGCTACAAATATAAAAAATAACAAAAATTGCGTTTTCTGTATCTCTCCTGTTTATTGCAGAAATAAGTTGTAGCAATCTTATAAAAATATGAGTAATATTTTTTTCTGTTAATAATTCTTTTTCCGATTGTAAAAAACACTGTCCAACACTGTAAAAAATTTTGGCCTGTAGTTATCACCATTTTTGGTGTTG